CAGCAGCGGGGCGGCGAGCGGCTTTGGGACCGCTGCTTTGGCGGCTTGTCGTGGAGCGGCTCCCAGCAGCGGCGGTGGGTGGCAACACGCGGCAGGAAATGGCGGCAGCAGGCAGTGTGTGCAGAGGACCACACTGAACACGAGGAGAGAACGAGAGAGAGAGAGAGAGAGAGAGGGGCGTGCCACGCTGCCTCTTTTATGGGGTTTTCTGCGCTCCCGATTGGCTGGGTTTGTATTTCTGGGCTTTTCAGCCAATCAGACGGGACCTAGTCCCGCCCCTGCTTCCGGCCGTGGCTCCTCCCCCGTAGCAGCTGCTCCCCCACACAGAGGGTTCAGTGCCACGTGGAGACGCCATTTTAAGTCAGTTTTGTCAGCTGACTCAAAGGACATTTCATGTTCGTGTAAGGAAATACCTGGTCCTTCACAAACAGGTACCACAGTTCCTTGGGTTTGAAACCTTTTGAGAGTCACATATGCTGTCTGCTTGTTGAACTTAACTGACACTTTTATAACAATTACTGGGAATTGTCACTGTGAGCATAAGAAATCTAATTCCACAGTAAGTGAACAAGGGTATCAACCACTACAGTTCTTTTTTGTGCTTTCATAGCCAATACTTGGAGGAAGGTTACTTGAGGTCAGGTACGGTCACTCTCAGGTGAAACTAAAGATTGTGGACTCTGTGCCTGATATTTATATTGAAATGGTAATTAATAAGTTTGTGTGGTTTTGAGCTGCAGTATTACCATATAAGACCCCTTTGTAAAAGGGGCTTAGAAGTGGATGTTGGTGGCAGGGTATAGGGCATGTTGAAAATACAACCCCAAAATGGACAAGAGTGTTGGTTTTAGTACAACTTACAGGACATTAGTATTTCTGTGTAGGTCCTTATACAGGTCAAATTAAGTCTTGTGTAGAGAAAGCTCATGTAATCTGTCAACCTGTATGATGACATTTATAACACACTAGCATTTGTGTTAGATCTATTTTCAGTATGAAATACAAAGCTGTGCTTAAAGAAAGGAGTGGTATTCCTGTGAAAATCTATATAAAAAAGAAATCTATAAAACTGCCTATTTCTGAATTTACTATATGTTCAGATACCAAGCTTTCTAGAGGAACTGTGTGTGCTAATTGTGATTAAGAAAAAACTGAGAGAAAACTTGTCCTGCTGATCTCTGTACCAAGAACATCATACCACCACCAATGTCCCTCTCACAGTAAAATGAATAAAGTCTGTGGCTAATGTCTCTAAACTGCTTGGAGAAGCTTCTGACCTTCGTCTAGATCTGTAAGACTCATAGGGCAGTAGGGAGGAAATAATGACATTTTCTTGTCTATCTTGCCTTATATAGGTTACTACTTATATTAGTGGAAAGCTTATAGACTGCATTGGAAAAATCTGAATTTAGTGTTGATATAGAAGTTGGCAAACACTTAGAGTGCTATAGAACTTATAACTGGGAGTAAATGCCAACAAAATTGGTTAATATGAATGAGTATATAAGCAGTCTTTGAGTGTAACTGAGTTTAGGTTTCACTGAGCTTTTATTGTACCTTTTTACTGCAGAAAGTTGTTATGTTTTTTTTTAGTAAATCATGTATTAGTTTTTAATTTAAGTAGAAAGTGGTAGACTACTGGCCACAAAGAAATTGTGCATACTCCAGCTTCTAAAATTCTTTAAATTCAATAGCTAGAAATTTCTGAATGAAACGATGTTTGGTTATGATCTAAAGGAAGAAGGTTAAGATTTTATGAAGCTACATGATTTAACAAAAAAAAAACGGGCAAACTTGTTTAGTGTGCTATACTTTTATGAAATCTTAACACATGTTATTGTTTCACTGATAATGAGACATTTAAGTAGTGTTGGAACAATGCAGGACACTGGAATCTGTATGTTTGTTGTGATTTGCTCAAAATGAAGATTATTGATTGGCTTACTAAGGGTTTGTGAAAGGAGGTGAGGAGAGAGAAAACCAGCAGTGATACCTTAAGGCTGCTATATATTGTAGCTGTATCAGATGAAAATACATGGCAGATAACTTGAGTATGTACATGTCTTTTTAATTTTAGGCTTATGGTATGTCAGCTTTGCCTCTAAATTTGATTAAGGGAACTACCAGTGCAGCTTATGAACGATTAGAGAACACTGAAGATATTGAAGAAGTGGAACAACATTTATCAAGGATTAAATCAAAGGTATGGGCTTCACTGTTCTTACTTTCTTATTTTCTTTCTAGTTTGCCTCTAGTTTATGGTCATGGTTAGTTTTTGTTCCAGAATGTATAGTGAGTCAGAAGTGACTGGCTTGGTTATTTGAGTTATTTTGAAACAAATGTGGTCACTTGTGTAGTGGAGAACAAGTTTTCTCAGTCCTGTAGCAGTAGTTATTTATGTCTAGTTAATAATGGTGCTGATGAGTAAAATTTGGACTTCTCCAGTCCTTCTTGGATATATTGAAGAGTTAATTTATAGAAGCTAAGAATATTAACCTCAGTCTGCTACCAGATACGCATCCAATTTGTTTGTACTTACTCAGTGTAGTTGTGAACACTGGATACTTGCCACATGGAGCTGGCATGAATTAGATTAATCAAATTATTAATCATGTTAATGAATAAATTACAGCTCTAGATATTCTTGCATCCCAGTTAATGTACCTTGCTGTTATAAATAATGTCTTTATAAAAAGTGTACATACAGAAAACTCTGTTCAGAGTCCTAAACATTGCTAGAATATTAATATCACTCATAAACCCATGATGGTTTTGCAGCTCACTGAAATGTTGTGCCTAATGTGAGCAGGACACTTAACAACTGAAGAGCGCAACTGAAGGAATAGATTTGTTTATGTACAAGGTGCTAGGTATAATTCACCCTTTTCCCAGTCAATTTCAGAAAATGGTTTGACCTGTGTTTCCATAGTCCTGATTGGAGAAAAGGGACCGTAAGATGCATCCCTTCCGTCTTGGCAGCCCATGGATGTTGTTTTTCTGCTCTGTGATAGCAGACCTTGGCAGTGTTGAAACAGTTCCAACAGTCCTCCCTTGATACTTTGCTACCTCTACACAGTGTGGGCATCTTCAGTGTTCTAGAAATCTTATTGCATAATGAAACCTAAACCAGTAGTGTCCTGCGGCTGAAATTGTAAACTTCTGGGTTTGTACAGGGTACTACTAGAGCAAAGGCACCTGTATTACTGAAATCAATATGAGGAAAATTACAGAAGGCTATGGTGGATTATGAGACTTTGCAAGCAGCTAGTCTTGCTGTTTGATCTAGTTAACAAATAGGATCACAAAATAGAAAGTCTGTTATGTCTATATTTTAATATGACCACTAGTATAAAATAATTTTCCTAAGCTTATGGATTATAGTCAGGATTCTACATTGGTGTGTAATTGAAATCTTAGTTTTTCAGCTACATTTGCATGAGATTAGTAAGAAAGTGAGTGTTACTGAGGGTACTGTACAGTGAAAGCTAAACATATGAAATAGGCTATTTATCTAATGAAGAAATTCAGTACGTACTGTGGCCTTCTGGTATTAGTACACCTGGTAGCTCTCTTTCATTAACCTTAAATCATCAAAGCTTGGACTTGCAGCTTGGGAGCTTGGACTGTTTCCAAAAGTCTTTTTCAAATCACTCAGGTGTTACAAAGGGTATGGAGGATTTGTTCCTGTTCAAAGTACATTGTGATCTCCAATTTGTTACATGTGCCTAGAATGTGGTCTTATTCTTGGAACCTTTTTGAGAAGTGTATCTACAATAGACTTATAGACTTGCTTTACCTTCACTGGGTGTTCAGTGTTTCAGCATTTGCAGGAAGGCTCTAAATAAGAGGAAAAAAATTGATGTCGTAAAACTCTGAGAATCTTTTTAATCCAAGGATCAGTTTGTTATACAGTAGCATCAATGTTCAAAACTATTTTGGTCTAGTTACATAATGCCTATTTTGTTGCTTTTGCTTATTAGTGTGTAACTGAGATTTAAGGATATGCTACTGGTTTTAAAGAGGGCAGTGGTGCCCACTCAGTGTTTAGAGGCTCAGAATTAAAGTACATTTTAAATTGTTTGATACTTACGTTTATCTGAAACACTCAACTCATTATTGGTGTAATGGTGCCTCTTGTTTAGATTTCTGAAAGGTTAATTTTTGGAACAGCAAATCATCCTGTTCTTGCAAGTACAAGAAACATATCTGGTACTTGTAGTAGGATGTTGAAAATAAAATTCAAATGTCAAGCTTAATTCACTGGCTTAATTGTAGAATTTAATTGGAAGGGACTTCTGAAAGTCATCAAGTTCAACCCTCTACACAAAGCGAGGACCACTTTCAGGTTAGATCAGGTTATTCAGATCACATTTGGGCATTTTAAGCATTTCTAGCCATGGAGACCACCCATCCTGTTAAAATTTTTTTACCATCCTTGTTGCTGTGCATGGAAATGGTGTGTATTATGTGCTACAAAGCCTTTAGAACTGTTGTAACTCAGCAAATTTGAGCCAAGTTTGTTTTCTTGATTCAATATCACTTAATCTCAACACATTATGTTTTGGTAACCAGTGCAGAGATGGTCGGCCTCTGTCATCCAGGGATAGACGGTCTGTACAGCAGCTGGAAGAGAGACTAAGGACGCTTCGAAGAAGAGAGAGGCATTTAGAGTCCATTGAGAAAAGCTGGTGCACCAAGTTCTGTGAAGCCATCCGACCTCTAAAGGTAGAAGTTTTTCTCACGTTTTGAGACTTAAATCGGAGTAATTTCCAGCTTTCTTCTTCCCATATAAACCATAGGTCAATTTTATCAATTACCAACCTGATACCAATTGCTTATTTTTTTAATTTATTATTTACACAATGACAGCCCCATAGCAAACTGAGTTCTTGGGAAACTTACTTCATCTGAAGTATAATTAAGATTGTAAAGGATCAATTCCTAGCTGACCTATTATGGTGCCACTGCCATGGAAAGTATGAATATTTTACTTTTTATCAGGCATGTGAAAATGGGAAGAAGAGATGGAAGAATGCTGTAGCTGTCAGGTAGCTTAGGTTAATCTAAATTATCTGTAGCCAGCAGAAGCTAGAAATACTTTGATTTGGAATGAATATGTTGCCAAGTAATTATTTGATCCTTAGTAAACTAGCTGTGTAGAACTTAGATCTTGATACTTAACCAGTGCAAAGGAAACTGTTACTGGGGTAAAACTTTGATCTTGTTCTTTTTGATCTTAGCACTTTGATTTGTAGTAGATAACTGGGTTTTAAAAAATAGTACTTCTATGGAACATCAGTCCAAAATCATGGAAGGCGTTATAAAGAGAATAGTATACTCATGACAGAGTGGTACACTTGAAGTCTAGCAAGGGAGAGGTAAACTCTTCTCCTGTCTAATCTTAAGGATAATAAGGACTTTGTGTAGGTGTATCAGTCTCTCCACCTCCTGCTGA